TGTACAGTACACTGAAATAAAAAGTACTGCAAAGATAAAAATCTCAGCACCTATATAACTCCTGAAGCACAGGGGGTTGTATCCAATGCCACAACACATTTCAGTTCTTGGGTAACTTCCTAAGAAATGCTACAGAATATTCATTCTAACTTGCTTTCCATGATCGGAAGTTTAATAGCAGTTTTTGCTCTGCTTTGCACCCCCTTTGTTCGACCGCCATGTAGTACAGATCTAAAACCCTTATGGACTCATGACTATGAATGAATTAGTGCAAATGAACAACTTTTTGTCCTGACTCTAGAATGCTTCAAGTTGAGAAAGGAATAAAAGAAAACCACTACAAAGCAGAAAGGATGAGACCAGAACCATTAAAAGTGGCTGGAATTTGCAGTTTAGGTGTCAGTCTGAATATCAAGACATGTAGCCAGCCCAAGACTCTTCCCACTCTTCCCACTTGTGGCTGATAAAAAGGGATGGTAGATAATAGAGCTCTAAACTGGGCTCAACTACTCACAGTATAGGACAGAGCTTCAGGAACACACATACTTCACGTGAAAGAGATAGTCCTGAGGAACTGTGTGTCAACCAAACTATAGGTACCGCGGGAAAGATTATTACTTGACCCCAGCGGTGAATTCTATCAAATAACACACTGCAATGAGAAATCAGCATTTAATTTACTTCAATCAATAAACATGTATGAGCATCTACTTTTTGCCAAGAAATCGTAGCAGGCCACGTTTCCACGAATATAGACTCATGGGATCTATGGATTAGAAGAAATCAAGGGTTTACTATCCAGGCTCTTCATCTGCTATTTCAATCTCTATCCCGTGCCAGTAGGCGTTCTTCCAGTCTCTATTTGAGCGCTTCTAGTACTGGGCAGCTCACTAGAAGTTATTCACTCCATTTTTGGCAACTCCAATTGTTGAACGTTCTTCCCTAACAAACACCGAAGTCTGCCCCTTTCATCAGCTAGTCCTTGATTTACACGCTAGAATCAAGAACTAGTCGGATTCCTCTTTCCGGGACAGCTGAGGCACTGACGGGCACTGGCTGGCACCTCCCGGCGGGGGCGGCTGCATCCCCAAGCTGCAGAGAGAAGCTGGCAGCCGAGGTGCGGTGACAAAAGCTCCGGGCCGGAAGCCGGAAGGCCTGGGCCTACCGCGGAATCGGTCTGTGATCTAGACAGGTGGCGTCGACAAGCCCGCCGTGCAGACGCGAGCGGAGTCGACGCCACG